CTGAAGAGGAAATTAGGAGAAGACTATGTAAGTGTCTAAGACATACATTACGCAAATCATCAGACTGCATCACGAGGCAAGCGCTAACTTGCAATCGTGAAGGGAAGTGGAAAAGTGGAAGGCCAAAGAACACATTTCGTCGGGAAATGCAATCAGATTTGAAGAGGATGAATAACAAATGTAAAAAGCTGGAAAGGATTGTCCAGGACAGGGTTGAATGGAGAGTGCTGGTGGGTGGCCTATGCTCCTCCACGAGGAACAACAGGCGTAAGTAGTAGTAGTAGTAGTAGTAGTAGTAGTAGATGAGGAGAGTGGCATCTTTATGTGGTATAACGTCTTCTAGAAGTTGGAGCAGTTTATTCTGTAGATGATGTTTAGGTAGTTTTGTTATTTCATCTTTTCGTATATATATACGACTGACTTAAATGATTTCGCTGAGTTGTGAAGTAACTCCAATACAAATAACTTTATTAATTTTATTGAAATATCCGATACGTCATTCATGTCCTGTATTTGTATTCTAATACATACCTTATATTTGACGTTCTTACTCAGTATATGTCAAGAAAGATAATGAATATTACACGAATCAATCAATCAGTATTGAGAATACAAATTTAACATAATCATCAACATGAACTACAAAACATAGTCATTCGACTACCAGTTGAGTATAATTTGAGCAGTGATGAAAACATTTTGTCATTTATTTACATAGAAACTCAACAATTTTATATGAAAATACTCATTAATGTAGATGTTCCTAAGGAAACTATGGCTTAGTATATGCGTCACTTCCAAAGGCAGTGAGCATTCTTACACTTATAAACTGATTCCTTACAATAATCAACTCATTCAGCTGGCATAATGTCAGTCAGTCAGTAACAACGTAGAACTTCGTACGTACGTACATCAGTTCGAGTTGCCACACCACATTAGCACAGAGATGCAGTTGTCGATTCAAATCCCGTAGTGGTAGAGGTAGTAAGAGTATAAGTAGTAATCGGGAAGATTAGGGTTTGAAGATGTTATTTAAAGAGTATAATCTAGTGAAATAAATTTGAGAGGAGAAAAAAAGAGACAAGGAGGAATAAGGAGATCAAAATTTGGGAGAACACAAAGAGTGTATGCACCTGCGCCACTGCAAACGATTTTAAGCTATGTCATTCAGGGTCTCTAACCATCGGTTTCTATCATCTCGCGGTCCCCAACTAGGTAATCTACAACTACCAACATGACTCAGTCCACTTGTCAGTGACTTCATGGATTTGTGCCATGTTTTGGTCTGGCCGACCCTAGCTTTCTTCCAATCTACTCCTATACCATTGAACATCGCACGTCGAGGCAGTCGGTCGTTGGGCATACGTAACACGCGTCCCAGCCATCTCAATTGATCAAGTTTCACTACGTCATCAATTGATTTGCCATCCTTACCTAGTACCCGTTTCCTAACAACTGTGTTACCTACTCGATGGTCCCAGGATATAAGAGCAATTTTTCGAAGACACCTATGATCAAATACTAATAACCTACGAATATCCTGGCATAATGATATTTCAAGAAAGAAGAAAATCTGGCTCTGTGAAATTACTGTCACTTGTGTACAAATTTTTCGATGATGTTTCTGATATCACTGTATATAGTCAAAATTAAACATGTTGATTGACACTATCATCACTCGGATTTTTAAGAAATGAATATTAAAGCAAATGAAGTGACTGACATATAAGCGAGATGGAGAAATAGTGTCAAAGCTAACACAAAATTGTATGTATAACTATATAACAAATTCTAGAGAGCAAAAACATACATCCTGAAAGAATTCCACCAACGATCAGAATAACCTATAATCATATGAACAGGCTTAAAAATGTTCAGTCTAAAATAGTTTCATTAGTCACATGATCACTAATAGAATAATCACCTAAAATCCCCATGAATTTGATACTTTAAGTCAGACAGAATACAGATTGTTAAAATGGAGACTTGGTTGTTGATATTATGGTTTCTATTTCAGTTATTTGTTCATTCATTCACTCATTATTATTATCAGTAGTATTACAATGAATTAAAGTAGATGTGATTTGTTATGAATTCTGTGGTACAACATTTGTTCATTTGCTGATTAGGTTGATTATAGCATTGATGAACAAATTAACTGTATATCATCTAGCATATCATTGAATATTCAGAATTGTAAAATAATTCCATTTGTATAAGGCAAGTAAGTAGGAGACAGGGACAGACAGTGAGTGAGTGAGTGAGTGAGTGAGAGAGAGAGAGAGAGAGAGAGTAAAAGACATTCCTGGAATAATGAATGATGAAAGTGGAATGTTCTAGTTTGAGATCATTTGTATTGATGTATGTATAGCTTTACCACTGATATGGATTGATTTCGTTAGAATATTGTTGATCGACCTTAATGAATGTGATTAATTGAATTTGAGGTAAAATTGAATGCGTGTGTGTGTGTGTATTTGAATAATTGACTAGACATTGTATATCTAGTTGTAGAGAGGGAAACGAATGAATTAACTGTATGATTTTGATCAAAATATTTAAGATGTGTATGATTAATGATCTAGTTGTTAATTATTTGTATTAAGATTTTCATTACAATGGTAATGTTTATGGAATAGTGTGCGGTGTTTAGTCTTTTAATGAATCAACTTTAAACAACAGATCTCAAGTTCAAATCTCGTATCACGTTATTATTCTTTATTAGTCAAGTAGTTTCATAAGTCACTGTTCAATTAGTGTCAATTAAGGCTGATGCATCAAGATATTCATTACAACGTAATGTTTATGGAATAGTGTGGTGTTGTTTTATTGATTAAATAAATCAACTTCTAACGAATCAGTCTCAGATTCAGAATCTCAACCTATCTATCCTGTCTTACATTTTTAACTTGAATTTGCGAAATATTCTAATGTAAAATAAAGCAACCAGACGAAAGGTCGTTCATCTAATGCTTTTTTAGTTATGGTAAAAACAGATCAATGACAGTCGTTGACAAATGTTTTGTCATAAAATCTTGACTAAAATAAAGTTCACAATGATAATTTGGTAATGATCCGTATAGCGTCTTGGCGATTGTTGAGTTTTGACTGATCAATGTTAGACCACCATTGAAGACCTGGTAACACTGGATGGCCATTTCGTCCTAGTATGTGAATCTTCAACCGTGCGTTCCACGATCCATATGTGGGACTCGGACTCAGGACCTTCGGTTTCGCGCGCAAACGCTTAACCTCCAGACCAGTGAACCGGCTATCCAACGGTGTTAATTTTCTAACTTCAAATAATCCACGATACTTCGAGACCGTCTATCATTTTCGTCACTGAGTAACTATCTCACAACAGACATGATTGAAGTCCACTTGTCATGGCTTCTTACTAGGACTCCAGAAGACACATCTTGAATCTAGTCACTAGTGAGCACATGATAATTATCAGTATAGGGTTGTGGAGATTGTTGAGTTTAGATTAATACCATAAATGGATTAATTCGGTAATAAATAATTAAATAACTTAAATAGGAAATTTTATATGTAATCAACAAATAGAAGATAATTTCTTGGTTGTTTATTCATCCTTTTTATTGTTTCCTGGTTTACAATTGTTGTTGAACTCAAGTCGTCTTTTTCATCGAAATATGATGAATTTACTGTTGAAATATGAATGTATCTAATGATACATAGAAATAGGGAATTACAATATTAATAAGAGAGTTTTTGTGAATATTATAGTAATTTCAATGGTTGAGATCATGAGTCAATTGAAGCTAGACCACCATGGAAAACATGGAAGCATTGGACGGCTGTTTGTAAATAAATCATTTGATCCGATCAATACTATAGAACGTATCGTAGTGGAGCAATAAGTATTGACCCCTTGTTGGCATATTATAAATCAATGAGACAAGAGAGATGAAGAACAACCGGAGTGTAAAAATAACTATTGTATACAAAAACGAAAAATTTAAACCTTCCGCTAAAAACTCGATTGAAAAAATTAAAACAGAATGACAACAGTAAAATTCACAATTTAAAAACTGATATATCAAATAATTACATATGTATCAATTAGTTAGATTATAGTATTTTACCATCTTCAAATATGAATAAAGACTATCCTTTAAATCTTAAACATAAGGTGCACAATATTCGTGATAGGTTTTCTAACTATACTCTAGATTCGGTTCTCTAAACGCTTGAAGCTAAATCTACAAGATAACTTGAATACAAGAGAAAAGCACATGAAGTGTAGAATGATTACTTAACTTCAAGGTTCCTTTGTGTACAGAAAATTTCAGTTGCCTTTCAGCTTCTGGTAATTTCTTTCATTCCTTTTTTTTTCAGAGTTTCATAATCAGAAAACTTCTTTGCAATGATTTTTTTGACTTGATTTATACAAGAACACAGATCGATGTTCTCTTTGACATACGCTAAACTTCTGTGTAATATATTATCATTCTTCAAAGAATATTCACAATACTGAAATATACTAATATTATGTCACTAATCTATAAATACTATACTAATAGGTAGAAATTATTCAATTCCTTTCTGAAGAATATCAACTAATGTTAATCCTAGATTACAAGAGAATCAGTGTATTACGTTAAGTGATGTTAATTTATTGCTAAACAATCAGATCTATAGATTTTGATGGAGTTTTGTTCTCTGGGCTAGATGGTTTGGTCGTTTAGCTTTCATCTTTTTTCTGAACGACATCATCAGCACAAACTTCAGAAGAACGATGAAAGCTGCACGACCAAATCATCCAGCTCAGAGAACAAAACTCCATAAAACTCATCCACTTTAGCTATAAATCTTTTCCACCATCTCAAAATCAAATTTATAGAAAAATATGAAATAATATGTACGTTGTCTTTTTTAAAACAAGAATAGTTGTAGAAAATTGACAGAACTACACATAAACTTGAAACAACTTTTTTTAAAAGAAAACGAGCACAAATAGATAGAAACTAACTTACATTTCCGTTTGATCATTCCATTTGTTCGAAAATCAACCACTGCTACTCTCCATCTTTGTGTAGCTGTACCATAACCGTACACAGCAGCAGCCATAGCTCGACCACCTGGTTCTGTAACTAATCCAGTGAACACAACTATTTCATCAGTTCTCTGGGATGAAGATGATGATGATGCAGATGACCATTTGTCATCATTGGTTTGAAATTGATGATGACTGTCTGCATGCATTTGATTTGTAGGTGACGATATAGTAGTGCTCATAGGTGAAATATTATTAGTACCATTATTGATATTATTTATTGTACTGGCATTAACAGTAGTAGAAGTAGTAATAGTAGTTATCGTGGTCGTTGTATGAGGGACAGCATCCGAACTTGATCCAGTGGTAATAGGAATTGTATTTTTATCAAAAACAATCCTTTGTCCTTCAGTTGGAGAAGGTATATCTGTTACTTTCACTGAAGCTGATTTAATCTTATCCAGAGATTCTTCACTATCATCCAACATATCATCATGATGAGCTTGACTTTTCATTGAATCATCTTCATTATTGTTAACTTGATATCGATTTGATTCATTAATACTCCATTGTCCAGTACGTAAAGGAATAGTGTGCCAACATTTACCTTCATCTGTACTAAAACGTAATACATCTGGCCATAGAGTTTCAGCTGGGACAGCTACAATTAAACCTCCACGATTAGCTATTTGATAATGATGTGGTCCATCAAGTGCCTACAGAATAAATGAACAAAATGAAAGAAATAATTTAGTCGGTGGAACTGAGAAGTTCTTCGTAAAACTGATCTTTAAGTAGCAAATGAATGGAATTTTGTGGATAGAACAAGTAACCAACTGGTATATATATTAGGAAGCTGAAGATAGGATTTCTAAAGATAGTTCAAACAAAAAACAGGCTTCGTCAATAACCACAATGTGCGAAATAGCTATTTCACTCTACTGCGCTATTCCATATCAGTGCACATACATGACTCGGATACGAGGAGAACGTTTAGAGTGAGGTGAATGACTTCATTAGTTTTAGTGCAAGAAGTATTTTATTGGCACATACATTATCTTCAAATGATATTATCTCACTACATAATCTAATATCATAACCTTTCTAATGCATTATTATGTTTATCCAGTGTTCATATGTACTGGCGGAATTAATACTGAAAAGTTCGTACATAAAAACGATTGGACAGCTGGATGATCAATTCTTTGAAGAGATTCGCGTTGTTAACAAATATTAAAACAGAATAGAATTGCTGATTTAGTTGTTGAGAATGAAATAATCATGGGTGGCTATTAAAATTATTTAGATGTACCTTCATAACAGTATTGGTTTTACAATAGAACTCTAACCCATTAAGTTCCTGTTTTGAAAGTCAATGCACTATCCACTAAGCTACTAATTCCAAATGAGTACTGGCATTCAATGAGATTAGGCTGATAAGTCCTAAATAGAACGAAACGCTCATCTTAGATACTAGTACTAGCCGCATTCCTACTCTACAGAATGGTCGAAACTAAAAGGTTATATGAAGAAAACTCGGTCTGGATGTATATATATATATATATATATATATATATATACCAATAGATATTATTTACTTACTCTTACAAATAATTTACATAGATTTGAAGGATAAATCACGGAAGATGATTTTGGCTGAGTAGGCTCTTTTGTAAAAGTTGTCAGTGTTTAGTAGTTTGAATATATTTCTTCATGTCAAAAACTAACATAAGTCATGGAATAGGACTGAAACCTAAAGGATTATTGAACGGTTATTTAATTATGTCTTAAAAATCCTGAACAGTGCACACACTTTCGATTCCATTTGTAATCGAATACAAGACCACTAAATTTCACGGTGAGTACATTAAGCCCGGATAACTAAGAAAAAATCCAATAATTTTAATTTCGTTCAAAACAATGAATTTCAGTTGTTATGTGATTGAAGGTTGCCAGAAGGAATCCCCGAAAAAGCCTAGGTTTCATGTTAGTTGGCACTTGTCAACAAGGTGTAGCTACATTAGCAGGAAAACTAATGATCCTTATGGTATTCGAAAGTGCATCACTTAGCTTTAAAGTCCAAGACTTTACCACTAAGCTACTTGGGACACTAAACGAATTTATGACAGGTTTATGTGATTATTCCAGCTATCGGTTAAATCTGTCTCACTATCAACATGTTGAAATTTCACTAGTTATTAAAAATCCATTCTGAAACTAGTCACTCCATCAATAGAGAAGTATTATCAACTATCTTTCAGTTCAAAATCAAATGTAATTTTAGAAAATATATTATTCTATATCTAGCTTAACATTTAATATCAGATGATAAGTTTACATGTGTAATTCACATATTACAAACTAAAAACTTTAGAAACACAACCAGTATTGGAAACTTTCAATCTTGCGTAATATATAATTTATTCGTCTGTGAGATGGTGGAGAAGATTTGTAGCTCAGGTGGATGATTTTGATGGAGTTTTATTCTCTAAGCTGGATGGTTTGGTCGTGGAGCTTTCAAAGTTCTTCTGAACGACATCATCAGCGTATACTCCACGACCCAAACATCCAGCTCAGAGAACAAAACTCCATCAAAATAATTCATCTATGATTAGACCATATAAAATCTATCCTAAATGTTCCTTTAAATGAAAATTATTAAATGACGAATATCATATCCTCAAACTAATCACATATACATAAAGAATATTTAATACAGCCCAAGTAGGTCATCTTGATCCATGCAGTTAAATAATGTCGTACATGAAACAAGGGTCATCTATGATAACAGTACATTATTATAAATCTAATTAAATCAGGAATGTGAACTATTAGTATTTGAATCAGTAATTTAACCATAATGCCCTTACCATAATCCCTGAAGGCACTGTGGTTTGATTGCTACAGGGATTCTTTATCCAATAAGCTCTAGTTTGAAATGTTTTTCTAATTAAATTTAGTAAGTATTTTAAACTATTAACAAACATTTAATGTTAATAGTTGAGATCATGAGTCAGTTAAAGCTAGACCATCATGGAAAACCTGGAAACACTGGAAGGCAGTTTTTTCCTAGTATGAAACTCCTCAGCAGTGCTCATCCACAATCCCACCTCTCGAAATTCGAACTCGGGATCTATCAGTCTAGCTTCAATTGACTCATGATTTCAACTATTAAAATTACTATAATATCCACAAAACCCTTCTGATACTAAACATTCAATGTTTGTTTGTTAATTACTAATCATACACTTTTTTTGTTTCGATTATGTAACTAACAGACTTTAAACATTTCAGAATGATTATATAAGATGGATTTTTTTCTCTATGACATCTCTATCATACATATATGTGAGAAATGAAATAGTCTAAAAACTATGTTCCCATACTGATAAAGTAAATTGAGATTTATTTAATGGATACGAATCTCATTATAAACAAATTACATAATCAGATAAAAATGAAAATCACTAGACTTAAACCAAAAAAACTAATGATAATAGAAAATTAATGTATGACATGAAGGATATTATAGAGAATTTCAAGAGAAAACATAGTTTATTCAATCTTATTGACGAAATTATTAGTATCAGATGGGTTTTGTGGATATTATAGTAATTTCAGTGGACAGCCGTTTCGTCCTATTGTGGGACTTTTCAGCAGTGCGCATCCACGACCTCGACTCCTGCGAGTGGCATCCAACGGTGTTGATGTCTAACTTCAACTAATCCAAAAAGTTGAGAGACACATTCACCATTGTCTTCAGTGAGTTACTATCTCACAACAGACCTGGTTGGAAGAGCATTGCTACGGAGTACCCACACTAGGATGAAACGTCCATGGCTTCCAGGTTTCCCATGGTGGTCTAGCTTTAACTGACTCATGATCTTAACCACTGAAATTATTAGTGTTCAGATCCTGAAACGATCTTAGTTGAATAACTGCAAAAAAAATTGGAAGATATTTTATATCAGTTTTAAACTCTCCATTGTTGCTCATCTATAACCCAACAATTAAAATCGAAACCAGAATCTTCAGTCTAGCATATGAATGCTAGACTTCGAGACTACTGAGCCAGGATCCAATGGTGTACAAGTTTAGATTTAATTAATTGGTGATATTCCATTGTTTTTGTTAGATACGTTTCACACACGCGACAAAATGGTCAACTTCCAGAGGAAATTTCTGGAGTCCTAGTGAGAAATTTTGATCAGTGAAGTTAGATTGTATTCGATGTAAGGATGGTGTTCACTGAAGACAATCGAAAACTGTAGTGCAACGTTCCAGATCTATGGTTCTGAGATTAGGCATATACGCACGAAATCAATGGTCGTAGTTTCAATCTTCGGTTGTGGCTAGTGAAAGAGCAATGCTACGAAGTACCCACACTAGGATGAAACGGCCATCTAGTTATTCCAAGTTTCCAATGATTGTATAACTTAAACTGGTTCGTGATCCCAATAAAATTCAACAATCATCATAACCATCATACTGGAAATAGTTTATTTTAAGAACTTTATTTGAAAAACACAATCATTTAATATCAGTATTATATTAAAGGAGAGATGTAACTTGTGTAAATTTACTGATCAAACCCGTCTCGGTTTTACTAACATTCGTCGCTTGTAGACTACAATAAACATTCCTTAGCCAACTAAAGGACACGTTTATTGAACAGGAGTTCACTATGTCTTACTTTATGGCAAAGAAACGTGTTTACTAAAAGTAGCGGATATTCCATGTCATTGGGATATAATCATAAATGTTCTCAAAACATTCCTCGCGTTTGTTGAGATCACCGAGTGAGCAATGCTAAGAGTAAATTCATGGTACTAACTGGGGATGATAAATTTATTGGTGGTAAGTTGAATCTTCATCTATATTTTATATATACCCAACCACCACCTGATTCGATGCGCGAATTCGGCTAGTGTGCAGGTGATTTGAAAAAGAGTTAGGAACAACTAAGCCAAGACGCTATCATCCCATGTAGTCAATGACTGTTAGGTATTTTGATAGACACAAATCACCTGGTTGGGGTCCGTGTGATTATCGTAACAAACTGTTAGAAAGATTGAGTGTGATAGGTCAGAATCTTTCCCTGTGGTGCAAGCGGATTCACTCTGTGTCTTCTCTTAGATCCCAAGTTTCATAGTTCCTGGTACATTTTCTATTCCACCGATTCATAACTTTGATGCCTAAACTTTTTTATTCCCACTGATGCTGTTAATACCTTTATTACTGAGATCTCCTCTGACAATTTCATTCCGCCAAGCTATTGGGTATATCAACTCGAACCTATGTGTACGTGTTTCTGGTTAAAATTCACGTATGGTTGACTGACTGAAATTATCAATGTATCTAGAAGTTTTATTTTGCTATTAGTGTTGTTCATAGTCAATCCAATCTGAGATACAATAATAAGGATGTATTTTGAACTTAAAATAATCTTGTGATGTAGACAAAATGCACATCTATCAGCGGAAGGTAGACAAATATTGTAAATACATAGCCAGGCAAAGGGTGTATTAGCCCAAGTCGCCATACCTCACCACATTACGACTATTAGATAAAAATAACAAGATGAATAAAAGAGATCGAATTAAGGTAGTGGCAAAAATAATAAGATAGACTAAACACTGAAGATATTGTTCGAAAAGGCACGATGGAAAGATACGTATAAAAGTAGATTGGAATTAAAAATCGAAAGATCAAGTGTCAACCTCAATCCTAAACACTTGGACCAATTCCGAGACATTTTTCCTAATATTTTCAACAATCATTTAGAATAGTTGCAAGGATCCCAATCAGGTAGTCTGAACCTATCAAACGCTTCAGTTTAACAGTTGATGTTTTCATGAACTGACAATAAATCTTGGACTGGTTACTCCTAGGTCTCCTCACACCTACTACAACTGGAGCTAGCACAATGCATCAAAGTAGGTGGTAGTTGGGTATACGTAATACGCGATTCCAATTACCTCATCAGCTGAATAATCACTACTTAACCAACCCATCCTCAATCTTGACCTAACACTTTGAATCCAAATTTAGTATTGTTTACCCAACAGTATCATCTTACTGCTTGGATTGAAGTAGATGTAACGAAGTTAAAAATTATAAGTCAGTTATTTAGATTCAAAAGTTAAAAAAAATCCCCATAGCTATGGTATCTCACTATCTGTGGACACATTTTTATGATGCACACAAGCGCGACAGCAACCGACGGGAAACTAAGCTTCATTTTATTTAATATAAATTGACATCTATCGGTACGGCACATCTGTAATTGTGTAGGTAACTAATACCACTCAGTAGGTTTTGCTAAATAAAAGCTTTCAGCTAAGCAGACATCATGACCAGTTTGTTATATTTTCATTAATTGTAAACAGGGTATCTTAACCCATAATCTAATTAACATTGAACTAAATATTACTAAGTAAATCCAGATAACAGGCATTTTATCATATCATATTACTTACTTTAAGCCATGTATATCCACCATCAGAACTGACAAATACATCGGCTGGTGTATTTTTCAAATGTGTTGCCACATGTCCATGAGCTAATATCAGTCCCGGTGCTGCGGCTATTGACAATGGTGGAGAAGCGATAACACGATTTTTAATGCTGAATTGATTGCTTATTTGTAAACCACAAACCTATAATATGATAGATAACGAAAATAAGAAATACAGTTCTAAAAATACAATATGAATGTATACATTGATTTAAAACAATAGGATTTTAATACTGAATTATTCATAAGTGAACCGATTGTTACAGATATTAGAGAATGAACAGATTCTAGAAACTCATTTCTTTTAACAAGTAAGTTATCTTTCAGTGGAAGGAAGAAAATTAAAGGTGTGAGCTATCCGAGCCGCAACCGACCTACCTCCTTCAGTGTCGAGTCACCTAGACTGGTGGCCATACTGCAACATGATCTATAGCATTCGATCTGCACTAATAAGGACTAGACTCTCATGACATTGATCGCCACCCATTGATCAATCAATTGTGATATGTGTATAGTGTTTTAAAGCTTACTATGATCACTATATAGGTAAGAGTATCACTCAAAAAAAGAGTAATATACTTAATTAAAACATAATATGTTACCCAAAAGACTACTGACAATCACGATAGTACAAGACGTTGGTATACACAAAGACTTGATATATATTTCTTTTTGAATGCAGGATTAAAATTTCATATCCAGGAAATATAAAACTCTTGTTGTATTAAAGAGCTAGAAATGAAGAACCAACAGATATTGTGATTGATCCTGTAAACAGTAATAAAATCTTCATCAATATTAGTTTTGTGATCATTTAATTGTTCAACAATTTTAAACGCCTAACCACAATCTTATAGGATCAAGTTAGGAATGTTCTCATATATTTCACTTAGTCCAATAACATTTATTAATGCTATTAAGTCCATGAACCGATCAATGTTATGCCACCATTGAAAACTTGGAAGTGCTAAAAAGCTATTTCGTTCAAGTATGGGATAATTTATCATTTAGGGATATCAGTACTGTGAATACTGTGAATTTATAACAAGTCGTTTTAAACAGGATGAAATTTTCAATATAGAGTTGTGAAGATTGTTGAGTTTCAAATGATATCATGAATGGATCAAATGTCGAGAACTTGAAACTGTTTGTTATTAATCTATTCATAGAATAAATTCACTATTATTGTTTGGACAACACACTGCACTAATGATTATATCTCATTTTAATAGTGAAATTATAGGGAAACATCTGGAACATATAGGGAGATATCTGAACAATGTTATTATTGAGAATATTCATTAAAAATTACCTAATATATATGACCATAGGTTTACTGCAGTAATTTTTTTACGGTATTCTATGCTTTTCATTCACGTGTTGATAATGATTATCAATAGGCTGTATGAGGACCGGAATCGTTCTTCTCTACAAAACCTCATTAGCAAATATGATATTTCAGTTATTTTACTACGAAGATAGTGGTTCCTGTCTGATACTTCCTATAATCTATTATTTGAAAACGCTCATGAGTTTTTATCTATGTCATTTTACTAGTGTATATACTTCGTATACTATTATCGAAGGTTGGTGATTATAACTATGTATACTTCGATGCAAACATCTCTAACCATGAATTATGTTTGAATCGTATGCTTTATATTATTAAAATGTTTGTGACAAATAATCAATCAACACGATTTGAGGCCTACTGATGCAGAGGGTGATGACACATTCCACCTGTAGCTCTTCTAGAGTTACTGCCGGTCCCAAACCCGGGTAAAGGAGGAGGGTTGGGCATGGGGTTAGCGACCCCATCCCGTAGAAAACTAACTCGTTAAAAAACGTTAACCAGAAAAAATAATAAACCCTTAGCTTTATAAATATTGTATTAACTCTACATCAACCTGATATGAATTAAAACACTTCTACCATACAACCAAATATATTTTCCAATTGTTATTACTTTCCAGTAAATGTATCAGAATAATTATGCAGTGAACTAATGGAAAAAAATATCAGAAGGGGTTTTGTGGAGATTGTAGTAATTTCAGTAGTTGAGATCAATTGAAGCTAGACCATCATGGAAAACTTGGAATTTCGTGAATTAATTGAAGTTAGACAATAACACCGTTGGATGACAGCCAGCCAGCTCAATGGTCTAGTGGTTAAGCGCTCGCGTACGAGACTGATAGATTATGGGTTCGAATCTCACAAGGCGTAGTCGTGGATGCGCACTGTTGATAATGGAAAAAAGTATTCTTGAAAGAACTAAAACAACAAAAATCCTAAAAATATTTGACCATGACAAATATTTTCAATGTAACTGACTTATTTTGATACAAACTAAATTTCAGCAGTTGAGATCATGAGTCAATTGAAGCTAGACCACCATGGAAAACCTGGGTGCACTGGACGGCCGTTCCGTCCTTGTTAAGCGCCTGGCGCGAAAATGATAGGTCCTGGGTTCGAATCCCGCGAGGCGGGGTTGTGAATGCGCACTGCTGAGGAGTCCCACAATAGGACGAAACGGCCGTCCACTGCTTCCAGGTTTTCCATGGTGGCCTAGCTTCAATTGACTTATGATCTCAACTGTTGAAATTACTACAATCTCCACAAAACCCCTTCTGATACAAACTAAATCGACAAACCAATAAATTCAAAATAAACCTAGAAAAAAGCAACTGTTTTTCAAATGTAAACAATTAGTGAACTTGACAAAACACTTGACATTGTTGACCTAAAAAACAAAACGTGATTACATGCAAACATGTACACATACACACATGTATACATACAAAATGTTCAGTTTCATCATATTTAAGTGACACTGAATTAAGAATCTTAGCTATATCTTTATATATATATATACATTCGGGAAGGTCAGTGATATGTGGTAGTTGAATAAACGTTATGGTCAATTATCTGTTCATCTTGTATTGAATATTAGTTTAAATGAAGTCAAGTTATCATTACGTATTCAGCATAGATAAAAACACAATAATAAATAGGAATTGAATAATTCAATTAGGTGAAATGCAAATTAAAATTCAGCTCTACCTACTTGAACTGAGTTAGTTGTGTATTAACATAAATTCTAACGGAGAATAGCATGAACAGAAGTTTAATACTTACTTAACTTCAGCAGTTGAAATCATGAGTCAAATGAAGCTAGACCACTATGGAAAATTCTGAAAGCACTGGATGGCCGTTTTGTCCTATTGTGGGACTCCTCAGCAGTGGGCATCCACAATCTCTCCTGGCGGGATTCGAACCCGGGACATATCAGTCGCGCGTGAGTGCTTAACCACTAGACTACTGAGCCGGACGGCGTCCAACGATGTTAATGTCTAGCTACAACTAATCCAAGAAATTGCGCCACCGTACACCATTGTCTTCAGTGAGCTGATACCTCACAACAGACCTGGTTGAACTCCACTGGTCACGGCTTCTCACTACAACTCCAGAAAATTCCTCTTGAATTCAGTCGCCAATGGGCAGACGATTATTATTAGAAGGGGTTTTGTGGAGATCTTAGCAATTTCAATAGTTCAATACTTAACTATTTTGAGATGTAAGGTAATGATTGGGAGTAGCCGAAAGGATACCCTGAATATCGGTTTCGTGTTATTCGGCACACGTCAGTAAGGTGTACTTTTAATCTTGAAGGAAATGCTGTTCACTGATGGATTTGACTTCTTATAACTCAGCTTCACAGTCAGAGATGTTAGCACTGAGTCTTTCCGGCCTCAACTGACCTCTTGTAGAACTTACCATCGATCGGTCACCACCGACTGATTAATCAGTCGTAAAAAAATGACTTAGCCATTCTCTAAATGGGGACTTCATATAACTTCACGTTTTTTATATATACATAGTTATTTTGTGAATCGTAATACATGATTTTTATGAAGTTTAATGTGTGTACGTCAACTGTTAATATCATTAATCGAGTGACATAAAACGCATTTAAAAAGGGTTGGAGAGAAACATATTCTTAGCGATTGTGAACACTTGAAATAATACAAAGTATGTAGAGTGATGGGAGGTAGTCCATAGCTAGCTGGGTTTCGTGGTAATTGTCATTTGTCAGCAAGGAGTACCTGGAACCATGTGGCACTTGATGAGACTCGAACACAAGTCAACCAGCAACATAATCTGAAACTTTACCACTAGGCTAGTAGAGCTACCAGCTAACATCAACACAAAGTACACCCGGTCATGTCAATAGAACCAAAGGCCATACTGCAATTTCGATCAACACTAAGTCACTAAATAGGTATGTTATTGATCACTATTTTGGTATATTTAGTTGAATGTACCCGCATCCCTGAGTTGATGTTCACTCCGGGGTCCGAATCCAGTGCTTTTCCCTTTGATCGGTATCGCGTTATCTGCACGGCTACTGAATCCAGTTAGCCATTAGCTTGTGCTATGGAGTAGATTTTAACTCAGTTGTATAGGCTGTTTGAATCTTCCCATTGATATTCAGGACAACTTAAAATGTTTGTGGCTTAAATAAAATACCGAGGCTATTCGCACAGGATGCACATATGCCAATAAGACACTCACCAATTGAAGTCCTAAATATCAATAGGAAGATTCAAACAACCATTACATGATGAATTATTTAAATATCTATCATGGTCATTTTTAATAAACCTTATGTAATTTCTAAGAAAAGTATACGGATAACCCAAACTGTTTTAAAACGAATCGATTTTAATTATTTCAACTGACTGAGTATATACAAAAAGAGAATATAAAGATCATCTACAATCCCACCTTTACTGATGATGGGTCTGTAGACAATAAATCACTCATATTTGGATCAGGTCTCCATATTTCACTTGGAGTAGAATTCTCAATATTTGTCTGTACAGGATCTCTTGAAGGGTTATTTGTTGTCGAACTCAAAGAGTTATCAGATGTACTGATTACATCACTGATGTCTTCACTACCTACATTACCCATCGTATTATTATTATGATTATTATTGACCTTGACAGTAGACATAGTAGCATCATTAAATGTAGTCTCTGTTATTGTTGCCTCTGCCGTCGCATCTGTGGTTGTTGTCGTTGTTGACGATGTCGTTGATGTTGCTGGTTTACTTTGACAAGTATCTTGAACATTAATCGGTGTTCCTAAAGGATGCCAACTCGCACCACGATCATGTGTAATCACTGTATACAATGTACGATCTGGATTTAAACGTGTAGCCAAGTATGTACCACGCATTGATGCTACACGATAGAAATCTGTCACAGGTGCATGATTTGGGTATAAATGATGTCGTAGTGATTCACTAAATATTGCACCACTGATATCGGATATAAATAATGCTCCATAACCAGTGTCTATGATGAAAAAAAAGGGAATATTAGTAAAGAAGATTGTAAATATGACGGGATTTTAAAGTTTAAATCATGAACAAACTAACTAATCAAACACTGAAAATCAAGAAGCACTGAACAATTGTTTCGTCCTGATATAGAATTACTCAACAGTGTGCATTAACGACCTTGCCAATGAACTTAGGAACTTTAGGCCTTACAGAGAACTCATAAACCCCAAACCACTAATATTAGCAATCAATGGTGTGAGTTTCAAAATTTGATGGATTAATGATATTATAAGTAAATTTTCACTGCCGAGATCATAGTTTCACTGTTTACCATTATTACTTGACAGAATAATAAAAAATTGGGGTTAAACGTAGTGAACAAAATGAATCAACGATAGAACTAGTTCTCTCTGTTTCGTTTTCTATTTTACTGAACTATAAGAATATTAGAAGAGAATATTTAACCTTATGATGTCGAAGATTGACTATGATTTAGCAAAAGTACAATCATTTATATAGAGTTCCTATCACCTTGAACTATAATTAAAAACTAACCAAATGAGTTGGGTTGATTGATTTAATGATAGGAAACTTTTAACCAATAATATAAGGCAAACCATTTAACAGGACGGAATTAAAGTGGAGATAATTCAACATTATTGATCAATAGTCAAAAGCATTTCCTTCTAAATTTTAACCTCTTCCTATTAATAGCTAAAAAGACAAACATCTTATTAATAAATTAATTCAAGTATACTCAAAAGAAAACAATTAAGGCTCTTAATTCTGAACTTTCTACTATATAAGTATTACATCTGACGAATCACGATAAATGTCAAGTAGTTGATGGTAGTTGGCAGGAAACCCGGAGTTCTTTCTTAAATTTGTGCTAGCTAGCATGGTATATCTAGAGTTATAAGAAGACAGATAATCCTAGCAAAATTCGGACCGATATCATAGAGCTTGGTTGTCTGATACGTTACCACTAAGTTATTCGAGCCACGAATAACTTCCAAATGGATTGAAGTATTCACAATTGATTATTCTCTGAGAAATGACTAATATCATATTTGTTAGAGTTTAAAGAGAGTAGTTCATCCGAGCAGACTAGATCTATTTGGTGTTGGTTGGGATTTTTCACTTCTGAGTTTTCATTTTCATAATTTTTGGTCTACAAATTTTAAGAATAGACGATTTCTTCTATTTGAATTTTTACAGATCTATTTCATTATTTACAAATACTTCAAGTAACCGGTGAAGTATGCAGATAACATAGTTATGTAATCAAAAGATTATAACAAGCTGTACAGTCTCATTATTGACAGTTGTAACATTAGACATCAATTTGCCCAGTTTAAAAGTGAAACGTTTTAGTACATGATTAAGTTGAATTAATATTGAATTTGATAACGTGGGAAACAAAGATGATTATTGGTTGCACAGAACGTTTAACCACTTACATGATATAGGAAATGAATACAAAATATCTGAACTGATATATGTATCAATAGTATGTTACAACTATTTGTTTCAACGAATATACAACTACAAATAATCAAACATATGAACTATGGAGATAAGAAATAGTTTCATTCATTGTTTTAAATGTCATCCATATATTATAATTTTTCAATTTAAACATGATAAAGTTACCAGATATATACAAGACTAAGAGACTGATGTGATTATCATATTGATGACCTGATTCTTAAAACATACCACTTATTAAAGTATACAAGAACAGTGTATATATATGAAAACAGGGATTTCGAATTCTGACTCGCATAAATTGACCTGATTTTATCAACAATACATTCAGATAAATGCACTAGGTATTGTTTACTTTAATCTTCCCACTGACGTTTAGGACTGCAATTGATCAGTCTCTTATTGGCATATGTGTATACTGTGTGTATTATCTCGACTATTGCCTTAATTCACAAGCTTTTTAAGCAAATATGGATAGTGGTTAGGAGTGCAATCCAGGATGCGCGTTTCTTCCTAGTTTCGGACTCGTCAGGTGGATGTAGCTGCAATTCAGAATTGATGTTCACCCTGGAACTCGAACCCAGTGCTGATCGCTTCAAACTCCATTGTACAAGCAAGTGGCTATTCGAACTCAGTAGCTAAATGGATAACGTTATGGTGTTTGAGGCGAAAGGTACTGGATTCGAATCTTGACGTGAACATCAACTCTGAGATGCTGGTACATCCAACTGACAAGTCCGAAATAGGATGAAACGGGCGATCTGGATTCCACTGTTAGCCACTCTACATTCAGTCAATCATATACAACCTAGAGTATTTGGAGTAATATAAATGAAAATGTCAAGTTTAGATTTGAATTCCGATTTTATCGAAATAGAAAAATACTGACTTTTATTTTAATGAATCAAATGCATTTTGCTTGAGTAACTGCATGCTTTAAGAAGCCAATTAAGTGAAGTTTTACACTCATCAATATAAAATTTCTGAGGTTCTAATGAGAAGTTATCATCACTGGATTTCAAACATATCTGGAGTGAAAAAACTATCATCATTGGAAGTGGATGTCAATCGCGTCACATTGATTGAAGTCGGAATTGCATAATTGTAAACTATGATTGTAATTGTTGAGATTTCACTGAAAGACCTAAACATCCTGATTTAATCTCTGGTGTAATCATAGGTACACACTACTTAAGAGTTTCGTACTAGAACGATAAAAACTGTTCACTAATTTGTGGTTCGCAGTGATATTTCAACTGAAATTAATCCTTAATGAATACAACATACCAACTTAAACTATTCCTGACAAAAATCTTCCAACGAAACAAATGAGTGGAGTAGATTAATTAATACTCTATAATATGAAGTGATTAATACTAATTTAATTGGCACTAGAAATATTGACACATCTTAATAATAATGCACAATACCTCTCCGAAATAGTATAATAGCATAATACACAGCTTATTTACATACAGTCAAAATGTCCGAAACACTCATATTTAGTCTAATACTAATCTATAGAAAGAGGAAGAGAGAGAGAAAGACGGAAAACAGTTATTTATATTAAAATATAAACTATCAACCAAATGGCCATATCACTTCTTATACTAAAGCAGCTGCCTATTTTAAAAAATAGTACAGTATTTGATATAGTTGTACATATATATATATATGCATATATACATACTTCCATTGAAATGAGACTATTTCAGTCAGAAAACAACAACATCAACAATAAGCAAAAAAAAAAATGAAGCTGAGGACAAAAATACGATATTCATGTAGACAGTAAATAGAAAGACAAGCTACTTAAATAAAAAGATAGTAGTTATTAATATCGTTCTTAAAAGAAAGTATATAAATATGGGTATAATTGAACAAAGAGATTACTAAAGGGGAGAAAGAATTTTCTTCCTCTGATAAACTGATTCATACTATACAAACAAGAAGATGGAAATAAATAAATGATTATAGCAACATTAAGGATGAATAATTGATGATATTGACAACAATAACTGTTATATATATAAGAAGGATAGTTATTTTAGACATTTAGAAAGATAAGACAGTATATTAATATTATGAGAAATCAAATGAAAATCTTACTGAGAAGTTAAGATTATAATAGAGACGTTTTTATGTTTACCTAGAAAAGTAACACACATCGAGTACATGCATTCTAATACAATTATACTGTTTACATAGAATGAATGGAATATGATTAGTAGTGGAATCCAGGATGAGAGTTCCGTTCTGTTTCGGACTCACCTGTCGGATACACTTGCATTCACTCCGATATTCTAACCCAGCATTCTTCACTTCAAACACCAACATCTTATCCACTTAACTACTAAGTTCAGATAGTTACTTATGCAACGAATATCAATTTATTTCAACTTTAATTGGTGTATATTATCCAGTTGTCGATGTTTCAACTGAAATTTAATTAACCTTAGTGTTAATTTCGTAATGGACATTAATTCCGGTATGCTGACATACCCAGATGATGATAAATCGAAAATGGGACAAAACGAGTATCTTGAATTACATTACAAACCACATTCTATTTGTTCTATGTAAAATTGTATTATGATGGCTATTTTGAGGTAATACACACAAGATAGCCCCGAATGCCGTGGTACGGCCCAGAGTGGAGAGAGTCCGCTCTCCCTCTCGAAATACTCTCATATGGCCACGCGTATATAGCCTCTGGCAGAGAAGTCCTACTCATTGTCTTCTTGTGGCAGGGGTGTTGTTTACAAAATTGAGAGGACAAAAAGCGAATGTTTGACGCTTTATTCGGGTTAATGGGCATGGAGAGTCCACTTAGGGGAGTTGGAAAACCGTGATTCCAAACCAATGGTGCACATGGGCTCCAGTATCCTGAAGGAACAAATGGCGTATGAACCAATTTTCGGTCACCGGCTACCATGGGACTGCATCTTCTTACGATGCTCCACTGCCTTGAGGATCAGACCTTCATGTCGAAGGCTCCGGATGTGGCCCCCTGAGGAAACCACCTGCTTTGGTTTGAGTACCCGGGCAGTATCACAGCCCTCATACATATCAAATGAGATCTGTGTGGCGCATATGTATTTGGTGCTTCCTTGTACCAATATCTATGTGTTAAAATATATAATAACACACAAGATGTATATATGTCAATTAAGATTGATCAGATTTCAATCAACAACGGGATGATCCAAACTAGTTACAGATTTAATCAATTATATTATGCTAAAATAAGTTATGATTTGTAAATTTCTAAATTTAGACTATCAAAATAGTTTTCGATCAAATTTATTTTTATGACTTCTTCAGTTGATACACTAGAAAAATTAAAAAGGAGGAAAAAGAACATCTCAAAATCACAATTATGAATATTTGATCATTATTTGAATTATATTTCTGATTATTATAAATGACTAGGTTTTGATCCCTTAACTATAATATTTAGGTCAACTGTAATGGTTCATAAAATGAAATTATCATCAATAAAATCTTTAAAAGAAGTTCAAATAT